ACCAAACCGGACACCAAGCCGGACACACATTTCTTGCGAGGAGATGCAACCTTCCATACCCCCCTTCACCCGAGTAACGCACCGGCGCGGCGGCGAGCGAAGCGTCGTGGAAGCAACGAACTGGACGCGACGGTGGGCGACCGATCGCACCGAACCTCGCGGGCGTTACCTTTTTTTTTTTGATAACGCAGGGGAAACCTATAAGATTCCGTAGCTATATTCCAATGGTACTTTTTCTTTGTCAGGATGATTTATTAACAATAACATTTAGAAATTTATTATCCTGTACCTCTTTACATTTTGAGACACGGCTATCTTCTCAAGTCGTGTGTGAGCCACGTCTGTCAACGGGGCACTCAGGCACTCGCCTGACGATGACCAATGTCCGGAAGCACAGACTTCAACTTCTCCAACAGTCTCGAATCTCACGGATTACAATATACACTCCATTAAATGCAGAGCGCAGCAGACGAAGGCAGAAACGTATTAATAATTGCCAAAGGCCGAAAGAGCACCTCGATTGGAACGATAAGGCTATAAGCCGAAAAGCTAAAGAGCTCGAATAACTCAAATACTGTTCGATCCAATCTTCTCTAATATAATCGCTCAATAACCAAAAGATAAGATAAGCTCTCCCCTCGTCCACTCTCGTCTCCGAATATATACATACATATACCTCCCAGAGGTCGCGCGGTTATCATTGCTAATGTTGCCGGGAATGTTGCTTACAACAGATGGCAACACTAACCCTTTCCCGCTTTTTTTTTTTTTTTTTTTTTTTTGACGAGGAGGAAATCCATCATGAATACCCTGACCCTCGGGGAAGGGCCAGGGTTATGCCGGACTCCTACCGGCTAAAACCTCCCCGGGTGGCGCTGCGAAGGGACTTGGGTCGGGGCCCCGGTGCCGCGTAACTGCTAATCGGGGCCCCGAGTCCAGGTTTGCACCTTCTGTCCCTGAGGGGCGGGGCGGGGGAGGGGGGAAGCCGACCCGAGGGTCCGCTTCGACCACCGCTCCCCCAGGGGAAGGGGGAAGCCGGCCCGAGGGCCCGCTTCGACCACCGTTCCCCTTTCCCACCCCTCACGCCTCGTCTCTTCGGTCGGGAAGGGGGAAGCCGGCCGAGGCCCGCTTCAACCACCGTTCCCGACCAGACGAGGCGCCGCCAATAATACACGTTGTGTGGCTGACTGACCCACCGTATCAGCCAGCCACCCTACCTTGGGAGGGCTGGTTGGGACACCGGGAGTCCCCGCCCTGTGCCCCACCCTCCCGCCCGGCGGTTGCGGGGAGATATACTCCCCTAGTCGCCGGGCTCTCCCCACCTCCGCGGAGGAATGGGGTGGGGGGTCCTAGTGACCCCCCTCCCGCATATCCGAATTACGTTTCGGATTTGCGGTTAGGGGGGGAGGGGCATTTTCGACGGCTTATCTCCATCGATACCCTCTCCCCCCCTTATTTTTATCCAATGCCCTTTTTCGGGCGAGTCGGTGGTCTGTGGGTGTAGGGCCTTGGCCTCAGCCTTGCCCTCCACCCACTACCTTCACCCGTTGCTGCTGCCCTTGGAGGGGCAGCAGGGGGGGCGGCGGTGGCGGCGCCACAGCCACCCCTACTGCAGGGGGGGCGGTCAGCATCGCTGCCGCCACCATCAGAGTGGTGAGTCGGTGAAGTACCACCACCGCCACCCTTCTGTCTCCGATTCTTCTTCTCTGGTTTCCGCGGGGGGCACCGTGCCCCCTACGGGGTCCCCGCCTTGCTGGTGCATGGGGGGAGCAGGAGGGGGAGGGGGGGAGGAGGAGATGGTGGACCCACCATCCTCCTAAGTTCGTCCTCCTCTGACGAATCAGCGTCCCCCTCCCTACTCCTGCTCCTCCCCGCTCTCCACTGGCGGTGCCTCTCGCGCCGCCTCCTTTTCCTTCCCCGACCCTCTGCCCTTCTTCGAATCTCTTCCGCCTCCTCCTTCTGCGTCATTATTGACTCGCAGAAGGAGGAGAATGCGTCCCATCTCTTCTCACTCCCGAGGATCGCCCCGACTATCCTCGGGAGTGAGAGGTCCTGGCCCAAGGCCCGGACCATGACTCCGCGCTCGGTACTCCAGGCGGGGCAGTCCTGGAGTGTATGTTGCGCGGAGTCATGGTCATTTCCGCAATGGTGGCAGGAAGTTGTGCGTTCCTTCCCGATTCGGCACAGGTACTCACCGAAGCAGCCATGCCCGGTGAGCACCTGTGCCATCCTGAATGTCAGGGTTCCGCGTGCCCTTCCTACCCACTCCTGCAGGAAGGGCCGGACGGCCTCGACGGTCCTCCTCCCGTACCTGGCGTTGGCCAGAAGCCTTTGCCATCTCTCGAGGAGGACCCGCCGAGTCTGGTGCTTCATCTCACGTATTGCCCTGGCGAGCGGTTCTCCGTGCCCCCCTGTACGGATGAGCTCACGCTTCCTATCGTACATTCTCTTGTACGACAGGGCCATGAGCTCTAGGGGGGGCATGCTCGCCAGGACCGTCGCCGCCACGCAGGACACAGTGCGGTAGCACCGCGCTACCCTGACCGCCAGCACCCTCTGCACTCTGCGCAATTGTGCCTGCATCGGGCGACTGGCGGCCAGGGCTTCCGCCCAGATTGGCGCACCATATAGCGCCACCGAATTTAAAATTCCTGCGTGGAGGCGACGAGCCTTCCCGTCTGGTCCCCCGACGTTGGGCATGAGCCTGCCCAATCGGGCGGATACCACCCTTAGTCGGGGGACCAGTCTATTTACATGCTCCCTGAAGCACCAGGTGCCGTCCAATTTGAGGCCCAGATAGTTCATCTGGGCCTCCAGCGGAACCCTGACTACGCCAACCCGCACCCAGGCTTGGGGTGGCTTCCTTCCCTTTTGATGAAAGAATATGGCTTCCGTTTTTCTTTCAGCCACCACCAAGCCCAGGTTGCGGATGGCACGCACAACTTCTGCCACCGCGATGTTGGCCGTGTTCACGGCATCCCCCCAGTCGTTCCCCCCGGCCAGTATCAAAGTATCGTCTGCGTAACAGACGATACTGCAGCCAGGGGGGAGGGCTGTCCGGAGGACTGAATCGTATCCGAGGTTCCACAGTAGTGGGCCCAGAACTGAGCCCTGTGGAACCCCGCAGCTCATTCCCCTCTCGCGCACCTTGCCGTCGGCGTCTGTCCACGTGAGACGCCGACCCCGGAAATAATCCTCGATGACGGCCACGAGGTAGGGTGGGAAGCGGAAGTAACTCCGCATCGCCTGCACCACCCTACCCCAGGGCAGGGTGTTGAACGCGTTGGCGATATCCAACGATATCGCCACCGCCACCCTGCCCTCCATCACGATGGCCTCCGAGAGGGATCTCAGATGCTTGATTGCATCTACAGTAGATCTCCCCTCCCGGAAGCCATATTGACCGTCATCGAGGTTGGGACCTTCCCGGGACATATGCTCCTGGAGGCGGGCAGCGATAATCCGCTCAAACAGTTTGCCCGCTTCGTCCAGGAGACATATGGGCCGGTACGCGGAGGGGGAGTCCTCCGGTTTGCCCTCTTTTTGGAGGAGGACCACATTGGCCCTCCCCCAGACTGGGGGGAACCTCCTCTCCCTGAGGGCTCGCGAGAATAGCGAGGCGAACCTCCCGCTTAGATACCCTGAGGCCAGGGTTAGGACGCGGCCGGGGATGCCATCCGGTCCGGGAGCTTTCCCGTTCTTGACCTTTTTGACACCCCCGGTCACCTCCTCCTCTGTGACCCCCGGCACCTCCCCCTGTTGTTCGGGGGATGGTGGGATGTATGGGGTGATGGGGTTACCCTCCCCAACCGGGAAAAGGGTTCCCATCACCCTCTCCAAGAACCGGGGGTCAAGCGTCACCGTCTTAGGGGGCGTCCATGGTCTCATTTTCTGCATTACCATTCTGTATGGACGCCCCCACGGGTCAGCGTCTAGTGAGAGGAGGAGGTCGTCCCACCCTCTTCCTCTGGCCACCCCGATGGCCTCTCTCAATTCCACTGCTGCTTTGCAGAATTCCATCCGGGTGGCCAGAACGGCCTCAGGGTCCTGGGGTCGCTTGTTCCGCTCGTTTCGAAACGTCCGCCTGGCGTGGACCGACCTGCGCCTCAACTCGGCTATATGGTCGGACCATCACCAGGCGGACCGTTTCGGGCAGGACCTGACTCTGGGCATGGAGGCATCGCACGCCTGTGCGAGTATATCCATGACCTCCATGACCTCAGAGTCAAGGTCCTGCCCCTCCCTTCGTCGTGGCCAGGTGGAGCCCTCCAGGGAGATCTCCAGGGTCTCCCTGTTTAGCTTGGCCAGTGACCATCTCCCGGGTCGGGGTTCCTTCCTTTCGACTGGCCGCAGGCCATTGGGGGTGACGGACAGTTCCATCTCGATAATGAGATGGTCCGACAAGGTCTCAATCTCGTCCGCCACCCTCCAGGTCTGCACCCTCCCCATGGCAGCAGGGGTTGCCCACGTTAGGTCAATGATTGACTCCCCCTGCTGCCCCACGAATGTGGCTTTGTCTCCTTCATTGAGGATGTGCAGACCTAGGCCCGCGGCCCAGTCCACTGTTTCCTCCCCCCTCCTGTCACCGCGCCGGGATCCCCACACTTCTGACTTTGCATTAAAATCCCCGGCAACGATGACAGGACCCTGGAGATGCTGTCTCACAGCATCTCCAATCTCTTGGAGCCTGGACCTGTACTCAATCAGGTCCAGGCTCTTTGCTGGGGGGAGGTATACCCCGACCACGATGGTCACTCCCCACCTGACCACGACGTACCCCCGGCCTCTACTCAGAAATTTTGCCGGGGGTGAGCTTTCGCTCGCCTTCCATGTGATAGCGACAGAGCCCCTGTCGTCCCCAAACCACCTTGGGTGGTTTCTGGGGACACAGTAGGGCTCTGCCGCTATCCCTAGCCCTGCACCGCGCTCCGCCATCGAGTGCTCGAACAGTGGTTGAGCTTGGCGGGCGCGGTGCAGGTTTGCTTGTAGCAGCCTGGTGGTCATTGTTTGTCGGTTGGACTAATAGTAACCTTCCCACCAGGCTGCTCTCCCTCGTCGCTCTCAGCAGTTTCCACTGGACGTGGACGCTTTTCTCCTCTCTTCTCCTCCACCTCCATTAGCTCTTCCTCCGCCTGCGTGGAGGGCGGAGGGGGTGGTGGAGGTGGAAGTCGCTTCCTTTGCGGGAGCGGTGATGGAGCCTTTTCAGCCTCTCCACTTTCCGCCTCCCTTTTTCTATTTTCCTCCTTGCCGCTGGGGGGGACAGGAGGGTCCTGGGGCTTCGGTGCGGACGCCTCTCGCCTCTCCACTGTCCCTCCCGCGGTTCTCCTTCTTCCCTTCGGTGGCCGGCAGGCTGGTCCTCCCATCCTGTGTCCTGCCGGCACACCTGCATCAGCACATATTTGGCACCTGGCTCTCGACTCGCAGTCTCTCGCCAGGTGCCCTTGTTCTCCGCATCTATAGCAGTTTTCTCTTCTGTCTGCGTTGTTTTTGCAGTTTTGCTGCACATGTCCCTGCTCTAGGCATTTATAGCACTGTAATGGTCTTGCTTGCAGCATTTCCACCTTCACTTGCGTCCACCCTATTCTTATATTCCCCATCTCAGCAATCCTTTTTGCTGCCAAGACGGGGCACTGGATCCATAATGATCCTATTCCATTCGGGGTCACCCTTATTTTCCCCGTTTTAACTTCCGTCCTTTCACACCCACCTGCCTTGGCCACTTCCTCTGCAGCTTCCTCCTCCGTGGTGGATATCTCCAGGTTCCTCAACCTTAATTCCCCCATTTTTTGGGGTCTGCTGATTTTTGCTCTATCGGACATTATATCTCTCAGTTTTTCCGCGAGAATGTCCGCCCTTTTGCCTCTTTCCTCGCCTGGGATTTCGAGGACCAACGCTCCCGTGATTCCAACCCTGGTCTTGAGCTTGTCAATACCTATGCCATTTAGATTAATTTTCTTCTTGGCTTCCATCAACAGCTCTTTGTATTGGCTTCTGTCTGCTGTTATCGTGACAGCTGCCGTATTGGGGACCTTTCTTTTGATTTTTTTGTCCTCCGCCTTTTTCCTATTTCCTTCTCTCTTTGTCCTTTCAGCTTCCCTTCCTCGCTCTTCCCTTTTCATCTCTCTCTTCTCCCTTCTTCCTACCACCCTCGACCATGGCACTTCTTGGGACGTTGGAGCAGGTATATCCTCCCTGCGCTTCACTTGTTCGTCCTTTCCGGGATTTTGGACCTGGGGCTGTCTGATGCCCATTTCTCGCTCTCTATTTCCTCCTTTCACTTTTGGTAAGGGGGTCTTCTTCTCCCTTTCTCTATTTATTTGGGGTGCCAGGGTTCCTAGCACCTTCAATACCATTCTTGTTACCTTTTCCTCCAGGTCCTCTTTCTTTTCTGTCTGTATTTCCTCTGTTTTCTCCACCCTTATTTTCTTCCTGAGTGGGATATTCTCTTTTATCGTTGGTCCCTTCCTTTCCACCTTGATGACCCTGGTTTCCATTTTGTTCCCCATTGAGCTTGTCGTAACTTTCGGGATGAGGCCCTTCTGCACCTCTATTACCCCAATGGGCATATCCTCTTCCTCCTCCATTAGATCCGCAATTGGAGGGGAAATTCTTCCCCCTCCAATTTTTTCCTTTTTTACATCGACATAGGTCGGAGGCGAGGAGGCACCCGGAGCCATCCGCGGTGCCCCCTTTATACTCCGGTCTATTTTCCCATCCGGTTTCGGAGGCGGGGGGGACAACGCCACAGGAGGCGCTACCTCCCTTATACTCCGGAGAGTTCCTTTGATCTCCTCCAACTCTTTTTTGACGTCCTTCAGGGATTTCTTTAGGTTATTATTTTCCACCCTGAGTTCCTCGATTATGTCGAGATTATCCCCACATTTGTCGTTGGCTATATGTTTGGCCATGAGATTTGTGCCTGCCGCTATAGCGGCAGCAGCATCTCGTAGGGCTTTTACGTGCGTCCCCTTCAGGTTCTTTGATTTAACCGAAAAACCTAGCACCTTCATGGATGCCTCCAGTACAGAGGCAGTTAACTCTCTGAAGGGGGCTTCCTCCATATCCTCCATAAGTCTTTTGACCTCTGCCTTGTACTTCCTATTCCTTGAGCAATCTTGGAATTCCTCTATCGGGTTTTCCATTCCTTTAAGAATGTCCTCCTCCTCTTTTGGGCTAGGAATTCCTGTTTTCTTTGCAGGAAGATCTTCTTCTTGCGGTATTCCCCGGTTGTTTCCGGCCTTCCTCTGCCTCTTAGGGCTTTTTCTGCGAACTGCTCTTCGTCTGTTTCGCCGTCCGTGTTGCGGGGGATATCAAATTTCCCTGTTTTTAATTCTTTCTCCAGCTCCTCTCGTGAGCTGGAGTCAGACTCAGACCCAACGATATCTATTTCAATAGGGGATCGTGATCTGCCACTGTCCCCTACCTTATTCCCTTTTGTTTTTAGGGATTTGGAACTCCTTAGTTCCATTCTTCCTTTCACCTGCTCAGGGTGATTATTGGAGGTGACCGTTACCGGTGCCCTCTTGCGAGAGCAGTTACCGGCTGTCTCCTCGCTCCTTCCTTTACTTGCCAGGGTCGTCATAATTGCCAGGGTCGTCATACTTTGGTCCGTGTCCGTTGAGTCATTGGATAAGATAGAGTCTGTCATTTTTGTTTCCAACCCACCACTCTGCACGGCTCCGGTGCCCGGGCATGCCTGCATCCCCCCGGAAAGGGGGAGCCTCCGAGTTCCCCCAGAGGAGCACCATATGGCACGGGCCGACGGAATATTACATCGTCGGCACTGGCCTCCCGCCCCCTACACGCGCCCTGACCACCATCTCTGGTGGCCAGACCGCTTTCGGGGGTCCCACACCTCCGACAATGTGGGCACCGTGCAGAGCGCCGCCACGCGGGGGGCCCCATGGAAGGAGATAGTTCACCGGTGTCGCACCCCACCGGGATCGTCTTCCCCATGGCAGCCAGCGTGCTCGCGCCGCTCGAGGGTCCGCTTTAGGGTGATGCGATCGCATTCCCTCGGGCACAGCACACAGGGGCTCCGACCCCGCCTCGGAATACGTCCGAGCGGCCCGGAGCACCCCTCCACCCCCCGGGTACCGCGAGGGGTTCCAAACCCTCGCGGTGTGCAGACCCGGGTATGGGTACCTCTCTCCGCCTGGCCGTGGCCAGAACGGATGAGGGAGAGGATCGTTCCCTTCGGCTGCCGGAGCACCGGCGTGCAATGCCTCCGGGAATGAGTCCTCTGAATGGCGCATGAGGGTGTCTCGACCCCGACCTCGGAATACGTCCGAGCGGCCCGAGACACCCCTCCACCCCCCGGGTACCGTGGGGCAAGCCCCACGGTGTGCAGACCCGGGTGTGGGTTCCTCTGTCCGTCCGACCGAGGCCGAACGGGTGAGGGAAGTCGGGGAGTCCACCTTCGAGACGAAGGTGGGGTCCTCTCCCCTCGTCACCCTAGGGTGCCCCGACCCCGACCTCGGAATAAGTCCGAGCGGCCCGGGACATCCCCTCCACCCCCAGGTACCGTGGGAATAGTTCCACGGTGTGCAGACCCGGGTGTGGGATCCTTCATTCGCCCAGCCGTGGCTGGGACGAGCGAAGGAGAGAGATCCTCCCCTCTTCGGCTGCCGGAGCACCGGCGTGCAATGCCTAGGAGGGTGGGGATCTCTCAGGACGCGGTAGCGTACCCCGACCCCGACCTCGGAAACGTCCGAGCGGCCCGGAGTACCCCTCCGCATCTCAGGCACCACGGGGGAGGAGGATCCCCATGGGGTGGAGCCCTGGATGCGGGTACGTCCCTCCGCCCCGGTCTAACCGTAACGGTCCAACCGAGGCGGGAGGAAAGGGTTCTCTCTCTTCGGCTGCCGGAACACCGGCGTACAATGCCTCGGAGAGAGAGGTCCCCTTCCTGGAGCGAGTGTGGAGGAGGTCATCCCTGTCGGCTGCCGGAGCACCGGCGTGCAATGCCTTCAGGGATGATGATCTCCTCCACCCACTCTGTGACCGTGCTGGTCATGGACCAGGCTGGTCACTCAGCCCGGTCGGGTGCTCTTGGTCCAGTCCCTCCGTACAGACCACTCCGGCTTGGTAGAACCTGCCAGGGGCCGAAACCCCCGCCGGCACAGCTCTGTACTCATCGGGACCTTAAGCCTCCCCACCACGTCAAGGTGGCACCCACGGGGAGGTCAGCGGAGACGGCGGACGTACCGTCCCGGGTTCTTGGTCGCTAGACGG